CATCCATCCATCCATCCATCCATCCATCCATCCATCCATCCATCCTCAGAGTTAGCCAATCCCAACTTCATTGGTTGAAAAGTACCTCTGTCACAAGTTTGTCTGACAAATTGACACCACTTATTTTTTATAAAAACCAGTAGTCAGCTGTACACGCTGTCAACCTTTACAAAGAAAGCTCTTAGTTGCAGCAAGTTGCCCAGGGACAAAGCCACACCAGATTGCATTAGAAAACTAATGAAAGAGCAAATTAAATGACAATTGCTTTTTAGAAAACATTTTTCTTCAGTGCATCTCAACACATTCCATATTTACTCCTTTTAAAATCAGAAACTCCTTAGCATCTTGGGTACAAAAGTACTACAAACCCTACTTCCTTGTCTCGTCAACACTACAGCTGTAGTGGGAGGTGACTTCCTGAACTGAACATCAGTCCATGCTTCCTTTCACTCAACCTTTACTCTACATGTCAGACCATTACAATAGGGATACAAAAGGATGTCTGATGTTTAGAAGAAAGATGGGGGTGAGATTGATTAATTATTTGAAGCTAAATTCTCAAATTTTACTCACCAGACATTTAATAATATTTATTTTCTAAATGTAAAAGAAATTGATGATTGCATCACCAATGTGGTATTTCATATTTTACCAAAAGTGACAGAATGAGGAACTTCTTGGAGATTTTGGTACTCATTAGTCATTGTTGTCTAGTGTGGCAGCATTATGTTCTCCATTTTTATTTTACTTTTAGGAGTTAGTTGTTGTTGGCTCTGTAAAACACACAGAATGCTTTCATTAAATAGAGGAAGGCACATCTCTAACAGCTCAATGAAAAATGTTGAACCTTATTAGCCCACCGCTCATTAGTTGCTGAGGAAATAATTAAGTAATAAAGCCTTCATTAAGCTACAGTTTTCTTCATCCTCCTGTTTTTGTGATGGTTCTGGCAACAGATGTGGAGTCTTAGCCTCACATCTGTGATTCCACTTTAACATCTGGTGGTGATCAAATCCTGGATTCAGCTCTCGATATATCCAGAGAATTTATTCTCTCTGTTCTCTACTATTGTTTCTCTTCTAACATTTAAATAATCCTTTACCTGAATGTAAGTTGTTTTTTTTTCTTTCTGATCCTGTGCTGTTACATGTTACACACCTTATGTGTATCAAACAAACACGTCAGAGCTTCTCATACGTTAGATGTCAAGAAACTGACTCATTGTCCTGCTTTGCTTCCTTTCTGTTGTCTGAGTCAACCTGCTGAATGCTCTTGTAAAACACTTGTAAAAAAAAGGGAGAAATTAGGCAACAAATATAATGTTTTGTGTTGTAGACATATTCTCAAGTTGCATAAACAAGAGCATTCCTGTCTTCACGCAAATACTGATGTGATAAAGAATGTTGACAGAGCAAAACAGACTGATTGAATCTACTTTTGGCAGCTTGCCTTCTGGGCATGTCTCCTGTTTTCATCTTTCTCTAAACTATTCACTCACACTTAAAGTGGAGCTGAATGCTATAACTCCCATGAAGCATGAACCACTTGTGTCTGTTCTTGTTGTAACAGGGTACAGTTTGAGGAAGTACACACGCAGAAGTAAAGCTACATTTCACTTGAATTCTTTTCTCCTCTCACCCTTTCATTCTTCCCATCTTCTACCGTCAATTTGTCGCTCTCACTTGCACAAGAATGGCTCTTGAATTAATTTGCAGTGTTCTTACCGTCCTTTCATTCCTCTCCGAAACCTCTGGTCCCGTCGTGACATTCTGTCCTGCCAAATGACTGATACCCAGCACTCAAACACAACCCAGTCAGCTGAGCGAGAAGCTTGTGAGCAGCTGCATGAACCCAAGACCAGTTTATACACGCATGCTGCAGTGACGGTAGCAAGCGTAGTTGTTTATTTTTCTGTGTATTCTCCCCATGAGTCTAAAGGCTTCCTGCACATGTGTTCCTTCTCTGATGTGAGCATATGTTTGAGGAAAAACACTGACACCAGTCAGCCAGTTTGCCCTGTTGTAAAGACCTCTCCCACTTATAGTTGCACTGCTCCGCCTTCCCCTTCCTGTTCCTTTCAGTATGTAGACCTCTGCAAGATACAGTTACACTCCTCTAAATGTATTACAGCCAAACTCAGACTTGGATGTGATCACCAGGTGGGTGTGGAATGGATTAAAAGTACAGTAAAGTGTTATTTTTTTTCTCACAAGGGGTAGGTGGGAGCTAGTGAGTCTGTTTTGAAATCAGCCTAGTTCCCATTAGAACAGGCATAATCTCTTTATGAACGCTCCAATTACTGCACTGTCAAGAGCCCACAGTAAAGCACCCAATTCATTGCACACAACAAACAAAGAGTTTAGTCAAAGGAATGAGAGGGAACAGTTTATAAGAACAGAACTATTATTGCTGTTTGGTGTAAAATTTAGACTATCAAAATATCCATGTGATCCAAATAATTGTATAATTATTTCATAGCACTGGAGATTTTCAACATATCTTTGTTGTATTTTTTTATTTTTATTTTTTTCTGTGGCACATTTTGCACAGTTGAGACAAAGACTACAGTTGAGCTACCAAAAACAAATAAAAACAGCAACATACCTCAAATGCAGCATACATTTAGTATGCTGTTGAGGCAAACTTACTGTCAGCTGACGGGAACAATTCCTTTTACATGCATATGATGAGATGTTTCAAAATCTTGGAAGTAACCAAAAATTCACAATGTGTGTAAAATGTTTGTAGTGCTTTGTCACATGTGCAGCTTGAAGCTACCATATTTTCCACCGTACACGTCGCACCGCCCTAAAAGTCGCATCAGTCCAAATATGTCTAATAAAGTGGAAAAATCCATGAATATGTCGCTTCGCCGTATATGTTGCATCCATTATGCGTCACTGCTGACAACCTGGAAATGTGGGCCGGTGTTGTGCCAAAAATCGATTGGCTGCCAAATGGTGACCACGGGAGCATACTAGGGAGGATTTTAACAAGAATTTAACAAGATTAACACTTAAAAACAATTATTTGTTTGCTCAAAATTATAGTAAAGGTGTGTCTCAGTCTTAACTTTTCCTTAATAAATGCACTTTGACGGTCAAATCAGTTGCATTTCAAAAGCTGATACGCGAAAACAGAAACGCGCAGAGGGCGACTCACTGTGCATTTCTTAGAAATTTAACAAGGTAACCACCTAAAAACAATTATTTGTTTGCTCAACCATTATAGCAAATGTTTGTCTCAGCTGAACTTTTACTTAATAAATACTTCATTGGTCAAATTAGCTGCATTTTGCCGGCATGGCACAGGGAAATAAAGTTGATTTGGCAGTTGCTCCAGGCATGATCCCGGAGCTGGGCGATGGTGGCAGACTGTGGCAAGCCGACTGTGCCATGATAGCCACTTTTTTCTATTACATGACACAATGGCATGCCATATTGTTCGAGTGCCATCTAGTGGCTGAAAATGGTAGTGTTAAATATTTTCAGTCAGAATGAATACCATACCAATTTATTTATAGAGCACTTAAAACAGCAACAAGGCCAACCAAAGTGCTGTACAAAAGAAAACAAACATGCACAGCGGACAGGAAAACATAAAATAGAAATACAGATACAAATAGCAGCAGAAGCTAACGAAAATGGCCAACAGAGTAGAGTACAGACCGGACCAAAACAAATCACAACGTGTTAAAGGCAAGAGAATAGAAGTGGGTCTTCAAGCGAGACTTAAAGACTGAGAGTGAGGGAGCCTGCCGGACACTCAGTGGCAACTCATTCCACAGTCGTGGACCTGCAACAGAGAAAGCCCTGTCACCTCTGAGCTTACGACGGGTTTCTGGGACTGAGAGAAGCATCTGGTCTGCTGACCTCAGAGAGCGCGGTGGGACATATGGCTGCAGAAGATCAGTGAGATAGGATGGGGCGGAACTGTTCAGTGATTTAAAAACATACATGAGAATTTTGAATTGGATCCGAAGGTGAATGGGTAGCCAGTGCAGGGAGGCCAAAACTGGTGTGATGTGCTCTCTATAGCTTGTACCAGTTAAAAATCGGGCTGCAGCATTTTGGACCAGTTGTAGACGAGCAATGGAGGACTGACTGATTCCAAACAGAAGTGAATTGCAGTAATCAAGCCTAGATGTTATGAAGGCGTAGATCACTGTCTCAAGGTTCTTTTTGGAGAGTATAGGCTTCAGCTTAGACAGCCGTCTCAGCTGAAAAAAACAGGATTTGACCATCATGTTTACGTGACTGTTGAGTTTTAAGGACGGGTCCATTATCACCCCCAGATTAGTCACCTTTTGTTTCTCTAGCGGGGCTAGAGAGAAAAGGTCAATGTCATGGTTCATGAGTGAGCCACTGGGATGGAACAGCATGACTTCAGACTTCTTCTCATTGAAGCTTAAGAAGTTTAAAGCCATCCAGTCCCGGATGTCAGCCAGGCAGTCAAGGAGAGGCTGAATAGAGCGTGTGCCTCTGTGCCTCAGGGGGAAGTAAATTTGGCAATCATCGGCGTCGAAATGAAAGGGTATGTTGTGTTTGCGGAAGATAGCACCTAGTGGCAGCAGGTATAAAGAAAAGAGAAGGGGACCGAGGATGGACCCCTGCGGTACCCCCCCACTGGAGCGCTGTCGATGCCAAACTAAAATCTTTGATATTGACACAGAAGGTTCTGTCAGAGAGGTAGGACCCAAACCATTTAAGGGCTGGCCCTGTGATGCCCACCCACTGCTCCAGTCTAGAAATGAGGATCTTGTGGTCGATGGTGTCAAAAGCAGATGTAAGGTCCAATAGGACAAGCAGCACAGAATCACCTGCGTCTGTGGATATGAAAATGTCGTTAAAAACCTTCAGTAGAGCAGTTTCAGTGCTATGGAGAGATTTGAAGCCAGATTGGAATAACTCTAGGATAGCGTGATCCCCCAAAAACTGTTTCAACTGAGACTCCACAATTTTTTCCAGTAGTTTAGAGGTGAATGGGAGTCTGGAGACAGGCCGGAAGTTGGACATGACTGAGGGGTCAAGGTTAGGTTTCTTCAGGAGGGGCTGGACAGCAGCATGTTTAAAAGTCTTTGGCACCACACCTGAGGATAAACTGCTATTCAGAATAGCGAGAATAAAAGGACCCAGGGTAGGAAAAACTTCCTTTAGTAGTCGAGGGGGGACCACATCAAAGGGGGAACCAGATGGCTTCATGCTGCACATTACCTGCTCCAGAGAGGACAGAGAGATGGGCTCAAAGTGGTCAAACACAGCCACGCACTGAGATGGGATGGACAGATCATGAGCTGGCGGAGAAATGAGTGCCCGGGTGTTTGCCACTTTTTCTAAAAAGAAATGGAGGAAGTTTTCACACAGCTCAGTTGAGGCTTCCAGAGGTGAAGGCTCACTGAGGTGTAGAACTGAGTTCAGGGTGGAGAAAAGAACTTGGGGGTTGTGGGAGTTGAAGACAATTAAATCAGAGAAGAATTTACATTTGGCAGCTTTAACGGTTTTCTGATAGTGACGCCAACTCTCCCTTAACATTTGAAAAGAAACCTGCAGCCTGTCCTTCCTCCACCTTCGTTCAGCTCTGCGACACTGCCGCCTAACGACTCGCGTGACGTCATTCAGCCAAGGCTCTGATTTAAGTTTCGTTTTTCTGGTGTTAAGGGGAGCAACACGGTCCAGAACATCTAAACAGGCAGAGTTGAACTGAGAGGTTAGCTCCTCAGTGGTAAGAGACACCGGGAACTGTTCGATCCTCTCAGAGTTAAAACCTTCATTAAAACGAGCAGCAGTGAAACGGTTAATGGAACACGTACGTGCAGGAACGCACGTCTTAGCCGTAGGACAAGGGGGGGTGAAGTCAAACAATACAGGCATGTGATCTGAAAAAACATTGTCACCGATTTTCAAATTAGAAACAGAGACATAGCGTGTTAAAACGAGGTCCAGCGTGTGACCATGTTCTTGGGTGGGTACCTGCTGAGCTAAGCCAAAATAGTCCAATAAATCTAGAAAGTCCTTCACTAAGGGCTTCTCCTGACAACACACATGCAAATTAAAGTCACCAATAAGCAAAAAGTGAGTGTATCTCTGTGTGATATCAGCCAAAAAGTCAGAGAATTCATTTATGAAGTCCTTAGAACGAGGTGGGCGGTAGACGAGCGCGCACAGAACCGTAGGACAGTGTCCGAGTTCAAAGACGCTCAGCTCAAAGCTGGCGCGGGACACCGGGATGGACAACTGTTTACAGGCCAGGTTTGCTTTAAAAACTGTTAATAATCCC